AGGTGCGCCCTCGGGCGTGGGAAGGTGAGCGACCGCTGTTTTGACAGTTGCTTTGAAGCTAGGAAACTGAGGGTTTTACTACCCGCTCCTAAAACTGTAAAACCGTCAAGCTGGAAAGACACCTAAAGATCGTCTTCTTGACCAACCACCTCGTTTTTTATTAATGGGGCGACTGAGCAGACGGGAGGTGACGGAAGTGCAGGGCAGCGGGTGTGTGGGGGTGGTTATGCGGGAGTGGACTTCGGGGAACAGCGAACCAGGGTTTGACCTGTGAAGAAGGGCATGCAACTTGATTGTCTCGTTGATAATCGTTAGTTTTCTTCTCCTGCCTCACAGCGTTGGGGTCATGGGCCCCACCTCATGCACTGGTTTGCAGCACAGAGCCCAGCACACAGGAAGTGTCCAATTAGTGCGAGCCTGGAGGTGAAAGAGCAGGTCTGATGGTGCCCAAGTCTAGTTTCAGTTTTGCAAGATGAAGGGAGTTCTGGAGATGAATGGGTTGATGGTTGCACAATAATGTGAATGTGTTACAGGTGCAAAGTTCGTGCACCCGATGCTTCCAAAGAAAGGCCAGTATTCCAACCATTGGCTGCACATTAGACTCACCTGGGAATCTTTTTTTAAATCCTGATTTCTGGGCCTCATCCTCCGGAAATTCTGTTCCTTTGTTATGGGGTGGGGCCACAACATTAGTAACAAAGAAACAGAATATCCGGAGGATAAGGCCCAGAAATCAGGATTTTAAAAAGATTCCCAGGTGATTCTAATGTGCAGCCAAGGTTGAGAACCACTGGTTTAGAGTAAAGAAAGGTTAATTGAGAAGAAATAATCTTCAAACCCATGTTAAGAGGGCCCACAATTCAGACTGTCTTCTCTGACAAGGGAAGGGAGGAGGGTCGAGGCAAGAGGTGGGTTTCCTCCCATCCCTCCCCTCCCCAGAGAGCTACAGAGCTAGGCGCTGAAAAGGACTCCAAGGAGGAGCTGGGCAGCTCTAAATCCCTTTGATCCTGGTCTGTGGTTGAGCCCCTCTGACCTGAGTCCTTGTGGAGACTCCCGTAAATCTTTGATTAACAGTCACTATTTCCCCACCCCTTCCAGAAAGGCCCCTGGGCAAGGGGCTGCTGGGGCAGAAACTCAAGCCTCAAGCAGAATTCCTTTGGTTAATTAGCATATTTGAGGCAGGTGCTATTAATCCAGAGGCTCTGAGAAGAATACATTGTAGAATTAAGACAGAGAGAGAGCATTTCACTCTGTTACAAATGTACTTAACACCACTAAACTGTACACTTAAAAATGGTTAAGATGGTAGCTTTTATGTTATGTGTATTTTACTACAATTTTAAATGTGTTTTTTAAGGGATGAGCTAGCATGGATAAACCTTAAATGTATATTGCTAAGTGAAAAATCTGAAAGACTACAAACTATGTGATTCTATTTATAGGATGTTCTAGAAAAGGGAACTATAGAGGCAGAAAATAGATTAGTAGGGAGTCCAAGGGAGAGAAGGGTTGAAAAGATTAAGCATCGAGGGTACTTTATGGTGGTAAAACTATTTTGCCTAATACTGTAAGGGTGGATATGTGACACTATGCATTTGTCCAAACCCATAGAACCTTAATGTAGGCAAATTTTAAACCATTTAGGAGAATCCCAAAATGGAATAAAGACTGGAACAAAATAATACACATTATAAATGTGTGAACCAACCTCATGGAAGGGGGTGGAAGAAAAGATGCTGATCTATAACTTGGAAATGAGTGGAATCTGTAAAACTAGATGCAGAAGGAACTGTACACCTGTTTCTAGTTGAAAACTTGTATATCCACAGGGGAAAAGGCTGGAATGATCCAGGTGGTAATGAACTAGAGCTGGAGATGTCACTATGACCTCATGTTTAGCTTAATATGGATACAGGCAGTTACATACAGAAATATTTATAGATGTTTGTGTGTGTCCTATAGTTTATACACATACAGCGTTTCCTTACTCTGATACCTGACAGGGCTTAGGAGGTAGGATACCCTGGTAGCAATGAGCACACCTAGTGCCCAGATCTTGGTTTCTTTTCTTTTTTTAAAAAAAAATATATATTTTATTGATTTTTTTACAGAGAGGAAGGGAGGAGAGATAGAGAGTTAGAAACATCGATAAGAGAGAAACATCAGTTCAGCTGCCTCCTGCACATTCCCTACTGGGGATGTGCCCGCAACCAAGGTACATGCCCTTGACTGGAATCGAACCAGGGGCCCTTCACTCCGCAGGCTGACGCTCTATCTACTGAGCCAAACCAGTCAGGGCTATTTTATTTATTTTTTAATTATTTTATTTTTTAAGGTTCAAATAGGTATGTTAATTTTTTTATGTATTATTAGAGGCCTGGCCCCCTTTCACAGTCGCCTAAGACCATCCTGCTTATCAGATATTTACATTACGATTCATAACAGTAGCAACATTACAGTTATGAAGTAGCAACAAAAATAATTTCATGGTTGGGTCACAACATGAGGAACTGTATTTAAAGGGCCAGAAGGTTGAGAACCACTGGGTTAGGGCATTTCTTTCTTTTTTTTTTATAAGCAAGAGTTTATTTAGAAAGTCACAGAGGTAGAAAACACAAGTTGCAGAGGCTAAAGAAGGGCCCTTGGAGCTTAGGAGAAAGAAAAGCAAAGAAAACTCTCCTGGGGGAAGGTGAGGGCAGACACAGGGCGGGGCATGCTTCAGAGAGAGAGAGAGAGAGAGAGAGAGAGAGAGAGAGAGAGAGAGGTGTTGAGTCCTTTGTCTTGAGGGGTTTTATCTCCAGATCTTGGTTATACCATTCTTAGATAAAAGGAGCCGGGAATGACTGTTTCAATAACTAGGACAGGAAATATGCAAGATAAGCCTGGAGCATCTGGTAGTGCTAGGAAGTCATAAAAAGGAAAACTTAGAAGATGTGGGTATGTCAAAGGGACACAGGAGCCAACTGAAAGAGCTGGCCAAAGCTGGACAATTTGAGGAACAAAATAAAGTGGTATTGGATTATAACTCAAAGTATAGATTAAAAATCCATGAAGCGTACTGACATAGGTAAATAATAGAATGAATACATAAATAAATGGGAGAGAGTATAAACATGTCCATGCAGGAGAATTTTAAATAATTTACGTGGATACGCTGTTTTCAAAGAGGCTGAGCATAGCTCCTCGCTTGTTAAGTGTAGTTTCTGCATATTGACTCCTTTCAGAGAGAACAGTGTGGAAAGAGTAACTTTGTCGTGGAGAAACCTGGCAAACATGACCTCACCCAGGTGATCAAGGTTAACATTGAAGTATGGTAGCAACCATCTCAGGTAGAAACTATAGTTTAACTTTAACCCTGCTGTTTGGTTTCTGTACTTATTTGTTTGCTAAAATAATAGAAAAGTTATTTTGATCTTCTGAATTATATAAATTATCCCATTCGATTAAATACCCTATTGATTGTAATGTGAATATCCCATGGGTTGTGGTCATACTGGTCTTAGAAAGCACATTTTCCTTTACCTGGGGAGGACAGCACGATTATCCCAAGGTCAGAGGGCTCCAGTTAACGTGTCCCTGTTGACTCAGTGTTCCGGAGACCCAAAAACTGTAATTTAGATCAAACCAGGTTCCTCATTCCAGACCCGAGGGCTCTAGGTAGATAATGTGTTTCTGCCAATTCAGTGATCCGGAGACCCAAAACTATAATTTAGATAACATGCTGCTTCTGCTTCTGTAAACTGCTTTTTGCAAACCAGGTTCCTCATTCCAAACCTTGGGATGTAATCAATACCTTTGTGATCTTTGCCTATATAAGTCTGGTGTTGGGGCTGGGGCGGGCACTATGAGATTTGGGAGAGCCGAAATGCCCCCTCAGAGTCCCGGATTTGCAATAAATATGACTCCTTAATTCGACTTCTTGAGGCGTCCTTCTGTGGTTCTCGGGGTACATTACAACAACATCAACAGTGATATCATGTTGGGAGTATGTGTCCTTGATATAATGTAGTGAATGCACTTTACTTCTGTGGCCTTCCTTCCCAAAACACATAACCCCAGTCTGATTATAAGAAAAACATCAGACAAATACCAGTTGAGGGACATTCTGTACTAGTAAAATACCTGACCAGTACTCCTTGAAATTGTCATGGTCATAAAAAATAAGGGAAGTCTGGCCCTGGCTGGTGTGGCTTGTTAGGTTAGGTGGCTCAGGAGGCGGCGTAGAAAATAAAGAGAGTCCAGTGAATCAGAAAAAGAAAGAAAAGGAAAAGGTTTATTGCGTCCCCAGGAGACCCACGTACCCCAAAGACAGGGCACGTGGATTCACGCCAACAGGGAGGGGGGCGCTTTTTTTTATACTGCGGTTGGGTGAGGGGCGGGGACATGAGCTGAGGTATTCAGCTGAGGAAGTTTCCCAGCAGGGGTATTCAGGAAGGAGTCAGTATCTGTGAGGGGGCTCGTGTTGATTCAGGGAGAAGCCAGTATCTGTGTCTGGCATGCTGATCTGTTAGAAATGCCAGGGAGAGTCCATTATCTCGTCACACGTCTGCATGTATCCGATCCTGGGCTCTCTCCGACCTAACATGGCTCAGTTGGTTGGAGTGTTGACCCATAAACCAAAAGGTCGCAGGTTCGATTTC